TGTGTTCTAAAATTTGTTAAATGACACTTTGTACTTGGCATTATAAAATTTCACCTAAAACATATATTAAGACTTCATCTTTTATATGGTTTTGGCAAAATTTCTATTTTAATTTCCATATACTAGAAATCTGTCCTTTCCATACAGATCATAGTTCCTTTTAATTTTTTTTTTTTAAATTCTCTTCAATATGGACCCATCTCTATTCTATTTCATTGGTTGATTTTTCCATTTGCTTTGCTATTCGTGTATCTTTATTCATCCATATACATTTCAAAGTAATTTTAAAAATATGTTTTCAAAAGTCAGATCAGGTATATTTAAGAAAAGATTATAGTAATAAAATAAGAATTTTAAAGTAAGAACACTTGGGGAGGCAAGACTTTGTAGGGATCTAGAGAAGAGTCAGCTCAAAATTTTTTTGAATCAGATTTAGCCAAAAATTAAGACAAATGGTGGTAAAGAATGACTATATGAATATTTCACATCATTTATGTGGGGGAAGTCCTTAAGCTTTCAAGCTTGGAAAGTTTACTGTGACCATCTTTATTCTTATACAATTTTTTTTTTAAAAAAATACACTAATAAGAATTATACTCGATCTTATAAAATATAATAAAAATATAAACATTATTCAAAAGATATTTCAGTAGTATAGAAAATGATACTGTTTTTGTCACACAAAACATGAACACAGTATCTTAACATTTCCAAATAACTTACCCAAAAAAGGTAAATCCTTAAAGCCTGCAGGGAATGGCACAAATCAGAATGGTAGAAGAATAAGATTACAGAAATACAAGGAAAAGTGAAAAAATTCAGGCTTAAGAACCAAAAACTGGGAGAAAAAAAATATTATGAAGTAAAGAACAAATAGAGAAAAAGGTTTTAGTTAATAAATAATCATGTAAAACATAATGATTAAGGTAAAAGGTATTGCAAAACTAGAAGTAAACATAGTGAAAAAGTGATTGATATAGAAAAAAAAGAAAATGTCTGAAATATGTAATTGTAGCACACCAAGAAGTGAATCGAAGCCAGAGGATAATATTTGAAACTATAATTCAAATTAAATATTACAAAAATAATTGTGAATTTATGATGATGATGATGATGATGATGATGTTGTTGATGCCAGGGAATTTGAATCCAAGTGGCAAATTCTGAGATATACACACATAAAATAATCAGATTTTAAAGTTTTAAAGAATATCTTTTGGAATATCCAGGACAATGATTAATGATGACCAACCACTGATCAAGACATTCATTACATAAAGTCAAGAAAATCAAAGTAGCACTAGCTTTCTGTGTTAGGATGTTTTCCACTTATGTGGCGGGAGAAGTTAAAGCAACATTGGTTTAGATTATTACAAAAGGAAATGTGAGCCACTCTAAGGTTTGACCACTCTTCTGACATCACAGGCAAACATTTTTGGACATGGAGGGAATTTGAGAATATTGTTCCTATGTGTCCCTCTTGAATACCCAACTGGAAGACAGCTTTAAAAGATGATTGATGGATCTTTACCTGGATTCTGTTGAGAATCAAATAATTTTATCCCTAAAATGAAACAATGGGTATAAAGACTACAGAAATGATAATAGAGAATTAGTGTCATGGTCAGATGTAAGAAGAGGATAGGGAAGGTCCCCAGAGACTAGAATTAGCTCACTAAGTACTCCCCAGGTATAAACTGGGATTAAATGATGATCAATTTAAATTGGCTAAAATACATAAAATTATTTTGAATAATGGTAAAAATAATTGCTCTACTTCTTTTGCTCCTAATTATATAGGGCCAACTTTTACTGGTACACCCTTAATTTTTTTTTCTATTTTTAATCTGATACTAGGATTTCATGTAAAAAATAGGAATTTGGGAGTAGGGATTTTGTAAAAGCATTTATAAGTTATTTAAAACACATAAACTCATAAACTTTTTAAAAATTGTAATTGTAGATGGACAGCATCCCTTTATTTTGTCTATTTATTTTTTTTTATGCAGTTCTAACAATTGAACACAGTGTCTCATACATGCTCTGCCATTGAACCCCAGCCCCAGGCCTAATATAATAATTTTTTTTATTCAAGAAATAAAATGCATTCTACTAATAAATTTATTTAACAATCTATTGAATCTTGTAATAAATGCTAATCATTACTGTCTTTGAAAGTATGAAACAAATTAAATTAAACTTTCTAATTGAAAATCTTTTTTAATATTATTTTCTGAATTTTGGTTTCTTCATATTATCTCTTCCTATTATGCTCTTTAAATATGTGTGTAGCTTTTAAATCAATTGTGACAATTGGCAAAAATAGCAACCAATTTTAGCTTTTATTTATATCGACCAGCTTCCCCAAAATAGATTACAGAGATTTCAATTTTGTTTTATCAGAAACTTTATGGTATAATTGATATTTCCTTATAGCAAAATTATATAAGCCTACTGCTAATTGCTATTAGGATCATCTGCTTTGAAACCAGTTACAGGTTGTACAATAGGAAGATAAAGGAGTTGAATTCCAGAAATGTTACAAAAATACTGTTATAATTAATTGGTTTAAGATATGTAGCTGAATAAGTGCTATTACAAAGAGAAAATATACATAAATTCCTTTAAAGTTTGGTAGTTGGGCCATGCTTTTCAAAGTTACTTTTAAAATGCTTGATTAGAACAGTTTAAGAAAATCAGCCAAAATTTGGTGAAAAATCATCTGTGTATTCTTTTTATAAGGTTAACTATTTTGTGATGTAAGAAGTCAGAAGGTATTTTTTTTTAAATTTTTTTTTTGGTTACAGGTAGACACGGTATCTTTATTTTGTTTGTTTATTTTTATGTGGTGCTGAGAATTGAACTCAGCACCTCACATGTGCGAGGCAAGCTCTCTGCCACTGAGCCACAATCCTAGCCCATAGAAGGTATTTTTATGTGTCCTGCTCCATTTATAAGGTTATTTATTAACAGAATATTTTAAAAAATTAGTTATAGATGGACACAATATTTTGTTTGTTTATTTTTATGTGGTGCTGAGGATTGAACCCAGGGCCTCACGCGTGCAAGGCAAGTACTCTACCACTGAGCTACAACCCCACCCCCTTAACGGTATATTTTTTACAGTGAATTGAATCTTGTTTCAGATATCTATTAAAAGAATATTTGTAATGTTAGTAGAATGTAGAATAGAATCACCCTAAACACCTTGATGTTATCATGGTTAGAGTTCACAAGGATGTCACATTGGTGAGAAAGATTGTTACCTTCATCATTGATCTTAAATGGATCAGAATATCCTCATTACTGCTTTGTTTATTCAGAGTAGATTTTCTGTAATTGCAACTCTTACCTTAGCCGCTCACCAAATCTGGTGTGAAAACTTTTGGCTAAAGATATGCAATATAAGTGTGAGGAACTCACTGGAGTCCCTAGCCTATCTTAGGAGTAAAATACAGCTTTAACACATACCAGATAATTGACTGATTTTAAAATGTTTTGCATGAACAATTTTGTCTTCTGACAGCTCAAATAGAAAGAAACACATATTTTTTTCCATTTATCTTATCACCAGGTATCACTGCTTGCTTTCACAGTCTCCTCAGCGTTAGATGTATCTCTTCTTTGGTACTTCCCCGAATACCATTAATATGAATATGCATTCAGAGTGATGTTTACTCACCTCAATCTATTACTTTCTGACATTGCCTTTTGATCTCTTCAACCTTGGTAACTATTATCACATTAAGTAACCTTTTACAATTATTAGTATTTAGAAAAGAATAACCCAAGGAGCAATTAAATGTGTTGGCCTTCTTACAGTCTGTAATTTTCCCCTTTCCTATTAAGTAGTGGACTTAAACTCTTCAGTGACATTCTTCTGATTCTCAGGCACTTACAGTAAATGTTTCCTTATTTCCTTCAATAACCTCTGCTAATCGGGTTTCCTTCTGTGACTCTGTCTCATGACTTTGCCCTAACACAGACCAAATAATTATTACTCTTACATTTTTACCTTGTAACTACATTTTCCATGACTTTTTAATGTAATTTCAATAGTGCCCTATACTCAAGTTAGGGCACTCTAGGTTTCTGAAGGTGATTTTCTGAGATGAGACATATAATCAAAGTCCTAACTACTTCTGTTCACAGCACTTACTGCAATACATTGCACACTAATCTTTCTGCACTTAAAAACATCAGAACTTGAAACATTTATTTTGAACAACAAATTAATATTATGATGAATATTTAGCTTATTTTTCATGAGCAATCTTTTACTAAAAGTCCATATTTGAATATATAAATATGTAACTAAATAGGCACAAAAAGAACAAAATAATGCAATTATACTTTACAAGTATGTTTGGTTTGTTTTACATGCATATATTTAATTGATTCTGTAAAAGCATAAATAGCAAGAAAACAAGAGGGAAGGAAGGAAGGAATAGATGTAAAGAGGGAAAAAAAAGAGGAAAAAGATAGGCACTATAACATGAAATATTTTAAATTGTCAATTAAGTTATATGTTTCACAAAAGTCTAGATATAACAATTGTTTTGGTTCATTGAGAAGGGTGTTCATGAAGAACAGTAGTTATGAAATTGAAGGCTAAGCTATTCATATACTGCAGGGGGACAATCTAGTCCCAAACCTTATTCAGCATGGTCAGCCACAAGTCTGGCCAGTAGACTTTGGCAGTAGCATAAAAACTCCATGAAAGAATCTACTGTTTATACCCAAAGTGGTTGTTACTAGAACTAAGTTTACTATCTTCTTGTATTATCATTGGCTTCTAGGGCTTATAAAGGTAATTTTTTGGTAGTAAACATCCTGTAGGTAATTTTATTTCACAAAGAGTCTTTCTTTCTTTTTTCTCTGTCCTTCTCTCTCCATTTAAAGTTTAATTTTAGAGTCATTAAAAGTCTGTTCATTGTAATGCTAATCTAGTGTTCTGTTCATCTTTTCTTCAGTTTTCAGATGCTCTGAAAGTACCATTTGAAACAATAAAAAGTCCCCTCAAACAGAAAACAACCACCTATTTTCTTTTGGAAAGTGGTAAGTGGGATTCATCAAAACCTAAAATAGAATGTGCAAAGATACCTTTGCTTTGATTTATGGCAATGTGTACATTTCAGCTTAATGAAGATTTTGCTGTTGGAAAGGGAGAATGGATTGTAGTGTTTTGATACAGAAGGGCAAAGATGATCTTGTTTTGTTCTGATTGGTTCCCCTCTTTAATCTCAGACAGTCTTCGGAATTGTGAAGCAATTGTAAAGCAAAAATTGAATATTTTTTTTTAAAATGAGCCAAGTTTTAGAAATATTTTATATAGAAACTAAAACAAGGAAACCAGCTTTGATTGGATTATGAAATATTTGGTTTTTTTATGCATTTTCACAGTAACTCATATGGGAGAAAAATGCAATTGTCCAGCAAAATCTTTGTCCCACCAGACATCTTTTCATATTATGAATTTTTATCATTTTTCGGGAATATAAAAGAATCATGATTGACAACTTAAAACCTAAATATGCTGCCAAGGCAGCACCAGGGCAGCAATGGCGCAGAAGAGAGGGAAAGAGATTGAGTGACTGTCAATGATCATAATTGTGTGCATAGCACAGTCTAAATCAAATGTCTCTCTCTATGGGTCTTAGAGTCTGACGTGATCACACTGACAACCAAAAAGGAGCTGCCTTATTTTTTTTCTTTGAAAAAGGAGTTTCTTTTTATTTCCCTTTATCATTCAAATGGTAGTGGCATCTCCCTGACTGAAGGAAATGCCTGAAACATATTGGAATGATAAGCATTCAAAATAGAGCTAAATAAACTTTGGTTTTTGAGTTAAGCTTTAGTGTCTTTTTGCTATACAAATTAGTATAGTCTATTTTAGATAATTCAAAGTAGCACAAAATAGAATCTCAAACTTACCTATACCCATATGATACACAGTTACTGTCTGTTAATATTTTATTATGTCTTTCCAAATGATTATTTATCAACCATACATCTAAATTGGTAATTTTTGACACAAATGTAACCAAAGTCTATATTTTTGATATATTGTAATTTTTTAACTCCATGTATCACTAACAATTCCCCACTGTTTTAAAAATTCTTCTCTGTGATGACAGTCGTGATTTTGGCAACGTTGTCTTACAGATGCACCAGAGGTTATTCATAAATCAAATATATAAAAGAAACACTTCTCAGGGCCCAGAATAAGCATGTCTAAAATTGTAAGCATTTTGTTGGTAAGTGGAGAAACACATCACTCATTTTTCTTCTTTTTCTGTCCTGTGTGTTAAAGATGTCTTGCTTTTGTTTTTCACAATGCTTCAGTTCATTGTGTGTTTTATTAGCCCTCATTCCAAAAAGAACTTCTTCTCCCTTTTAGCCAGAGAAGATTCTACTATATCTCATAATTTCTTGCTGTTAATTTTATCAAGAAATCATTTTTATAAAAAAGAAATTTATTTATAATATATATACATAGAAAATCTTATGCCTTAATATTTAATGACTCATGATAGCTTAAGAGAACTTCTTTAGTGTTCCTATTATTTATTAAAGGGTACATTTTTGTTACAAGTCTGCCTTGTATTGTGCAAATACATTCATTTTACATTGACATAGCAGAAGCTTTAACCATCACATTGTTTGTGATCTTCGAAAAGATAATTAAATTAATACTATTTCCTTGTTTAAAGTAATGAGACCTTTTATCCTTTTTGTAAGAAATGTAATATCAAGTTCATATGATTTTTAGGAAGTTTAAGATATATTAATTACATGTTTATCTATATAAAAGTTTGCTTAGGTGTAAAAGGGGTATTATTAAAAAACTGAGATGGAAGCCACAGTTTAGATATCCGAAGGCAAGCCACCTATAACCATGTAGCTGAAACTAAAGTCACCTCAAAATGCTACCTAGGTCTATTTGTACATAAGCACAACACAAAGCTTATAATTTTGACAGCAAGCTTCAATGAAATTAAACCAACTGTTTATAGGTAAATCAGTTTAAATAGTTCTGCTTGCTTTAAACAGAGTGATAAAGTATAATAACTATTATGAATAAGTTCAAAATTTCCCCTTTTTTATTTTTTTATGAACTTTTGTTACTGTTAAGCGGGATTTATCACTTTTGGTTTGAGGTTTCCTGATTTACAAACTGTTATTTTGTGCACACAGCAAGCTTGAATGTTTTTTTCTGTAATAATCTAATTTTATTTTTCGTAGTACTCAATGAATTGTAGATATTAATATATTAACAGTCCATTTCTTCTCATTCTGTTCATAATGAAGATACTTCAGTAGCTCAGCTTCTCTTTTTTTTTCATCTTACTCCCCACAACTATAGGGTTAGGTTATATTTCTTTAACAAAGAGCCACCCAGAAGCCCTATAAAAACGATCCAAACGTTACAGAAACATTTTTTTCCCCACACAATACATTCTTATTTCCCTGTGAAAGTCTATATACCTGATTACTTACCTAATACTGTTTACCACAACCTTATTTCCAAGGACATGGGTTGCCACTGTTAAATGTTAATTGTGCAAATAATTATGTTCCTTCTGCCACAGCTGATTTAATGTATTTTCTTCCTTGTTAATGAACATGTAACAATCCAAAGTGGTGTTTTGAAGTGGTAGTATAAAAATACAACATTCTACCATTTGCTGAAAGAATTATATCATACAATTGATAAGCACATATTTTTGGTTTGGTTTGAATGCCATGGCTTTCAATATTTTTCCTGGTTAAATGTCCATTAAATGCAGAACTGTGTCTAAAGAGTCCTATTTGCAGAAACAAGCAGAGTTTCCAGATACTTAGAGGAGAGTGGAAAAAAACAAAACAAAACAAAAAAGACAACCAGGACAAAACATTGGGTTTAACATGGAAAGTATAAAATGATATTAAGGGGGAGAGCTATGTTAGAAGTTCTGCCAGGTTGAAGAGAAGAAAGGTCACGCAGCTTGAAATCTGAAAACCTGGGTTCAATTCCCAGAACTTCTACTTATGTGTGTTATGGTATTACAGAAGCCACTTAACCTTGCTTAGCCTTGCGGTATTGTGAGTCACTTAACCTTTTTAACCTTAGTTTCCTCATTTATAGATTAAAGATAAATAGTATCTATTTTGAATAACTTATGAGAATTAATCGAGGTATTGTGCATTTAAGTGGTTTGTATACTGGCAGTGTGTGTGTGTGTGTGTGTGTGTGTGTTTTAATAAGCATTTCTTTTTAAATAGTAAAAGGCAACTGACTGAGTGGTTCAAAACTAGCATAGTCATCAGCATAAGGAATGGATGTAAAATAAAATTTAAAATTGAGTCCTTACATGTAGTCCATGTTAAAGGAATTATGCAAATGGACTAACTATAGATGAGAGTTAGGGACTCATGAGTACAAAAGGCCTTCAAATTTAATGGGCATATTAGATACTTTACTCATATCATATTTCTCAATCTTTAGGACAACTGGAGAATAGATTTTATTTTATTTCACAGATGAATAAATAGATAGAAACTAAGTTTTCTAAATAACTTATCTAATAATACATAGTAAATGGAGAGGAAAAATCTTGGAATCAACCAAGTCAAGACAATTATTTCAAAAACATGTTCTTTCCATTAGATCACTATTTCAGCACAACCAGAAAAAAACATTCAAACGTATAATGACAATTTACTTATTATTTTATTGGATCTTCTATTGACCAATAAGATAAATAATGAGTAAGAAAATGGCCTTTCTTTAGTGAAGTTCTTAAGTAGAACAAGTTCTCATTAATACAAAAGTCCAAATATTAACACATCATTTAAACATATTAACAAAGAACTCCCTCTTTTTAGTGACAAATTGCACAACAAATTCACTGTGAGCTGGGCATGGAGGCACATGTGAATTGGAATACTGAAGATGGGAATTACAAGTTCAAAGCCAGTCTCAGCAACTTATCAAGGTCCTCTGCAACTAAGTGTGACCCTGTGTCAAATAAAAAATTATAAAAGGACTGAGAAAGTTGCTCAGTGATTAAGCACCCATGAATTCAATCCATAGTACAAAAAATAAAAATTAAAAAGTTAAAATTCAGTGTCATCTCAAAAAATACATTTCTGATATAATCAACTACTTGAGAATTGTTTTCTTCAGTTTTAAAAAGTGAGAATACTTAGCAATCTTTGATTTATAATAAATTTGTATTCTCTCAGAGATGAGCAATCTGCACTGTGCTATAATCAATATTAACTGCTTTGATGTGCTATTTTCATGGCAATATGTGAGAACCAATAACTAGATTATCATAAAAGTTTGAAAGAAATCATATTTTCCAATATACTTTCTTAAGAAAATTATGATAAGGATAAATATTTGAGAACAATAGTAAAATAAAATTGTTCTTAGATATATAAACAATTACCTAAAATATCTCATCCCAAATGGTGGCCCGTAGTTGCTGCTTTTCACCAATTAAACCCTTGGGAAATGACATGACAAAGCAGTAGCTATAAAGACCAAGGAAAGATGAATTAAGGGACAAAAAGGAAAGATGAAATTACATATTAGGAATAAAGAAACGTATTTACGCCTCCATAAGAAGACCTCACTTTACTTTCCCCAATATGGACTGCATAGAATTCCTTTGATTTATAGTAGTTGAAACTTTTTAAAAATTATACAAGAAAAAAATTAATTTAGGTCATAGTCTGGATTCAACTTAGGAGCATAAAACTTTCCATTTGCCTCAAGTAATTGAAGCCAAGAACTCTAAAGGAATCACTGAACTAAATCGGTTGATCATTTCTGTATTACAATTTCTCAGGCTGCTGGAGGCTAAGCTCTGTGGTACCATGTCCGAGAATATGAAACAAACATATGACATGAAAGCATTATGATGTGTGATTGCTTTGCATGGGGTGTATGATAAAGGTTAACAGACTCCTCTTTCCATTTGGCTTTTCAGATTTGCACACACTTTGAGGAAAGTTGCCAAAAAGCTTTCTTCTTGTTTCTCTATTTTTAAATTTATTCCTGCTGAGAGGTGAATCTTTATATGCTCCACTCTAAGGCAAAGATCATGGTTACAGTACCTTTCCTAGTATTTGCAGGAAACATATGGAGAGCAGATTATTCAGGTTGTAAAAATTACCACTTCAGATTTGGTTCACTTGACTTGTCATCCTTCCTGTCAGCCAGTACTCTCTTTTCACCCACCATGTAAACATCACTTTGGCACAAGGTTTCACTTCTTAAGTTGATGAGATCTCATGGGCACTCTCTCTCTCTCTCTCTCTCTCTCTCTCTCTCTCTCTCTCTCTCTCTCTCT